AGATCAGCTGTTAATATCAAGGGGATTCCCTTGTATGTTATTTGTTTTTCCCTTGCTGCTTTTAATATTTTTGCTTTGTATTTAATTTTTGATAATTTGATTAATATGTGTCTTGGCATGTTTCTCCTTGGATTTATCCTGTATGGGACTCTCTGTGCTTCCTGGACTTGATTGACTGCTTCCTTTCCCATATTAGGGAAGTTTTCAACTATAATCTCTTCAAATATTTTCAGTCCCTTTCTTTTTCTCTTCTTCTTCTGGGACCCCTATAATTTGAATGTTGGTGCGTTTAATGTTGTCCCAGAGGTCTCTGAGACTGTCCTCAATTCTTTTCATTCTTTTTTCTTTATTCTGCTCTGTGGTAGTTATTTCCACCGTTTTATCTTCCAGGTCGCTTATCTGTTCTTCTGCCTCAGTTATTCGGCTATTGATTCCTTCTAGAGAATTTTAAATTTCATTTATTGTTTTGTTCATCATTGTTTGCTCTGTAGTTCTTCTAGGTCCCTGTTAAACATTTCTTGTATTTTCTCCATTCTATTTCCAAGATTTTAGATCATCTTTACTATCATTACTCTGAATTCTTTTTCAGGTAGACTGCCTATTTCCTGTTCATTTGTTTTGTCTTGTGGGTTTTTACCCTGCTCCTTCATCTGCTGTGTGTTTCTCTGTCTTCTCATTTTGCGTAACTTACTGTGTTTGGGGTCTCTTTTTCGCAGGCTGCAGGTTCATAGTTCCTGTTGTTTTTGGTGTCTGCCCCCAGTGGCTAAAGTTGGTTCAGTGGGTTGTGTAGGCTTCCTGGTGGAGGGGACTAGTGCCTGTGTTCTGGTGGATGAGGCTGGATCTTGTCTTTCTGGTGGGCAGTACTGCATCTGGTGGTGTGTTTTAGGGTGTCTGTGACTTTATTATGATTTTAGGCAGCCTCTCTGCTAATGGGTGGGGTTGTGTTCCTGTCTTGCTCGTTGTTTGGCTTAGGGTGTCCAGCACTCTAGCTTGCTGGTCGTTGAGTGGGGCTGGGTCTTAGCATTGAGATGGAGATGTCTAGGAGAGCTTTCGGTGTTTGATATTATGTGGAGCTGAGAGGTGTCTGGTGGACCAGTGTCCTGAACTTGGCTCTCCCACCTCAGAGGCAGAGTCCTGACACCCAGCTGGAGCACCACCACCCTGTCAGCCACACGCTCAGAAGAAAAGGGAGAAAAAAAGATAGAAAGAAAAAAATAAATAAAATAAAGTTATTAAAATAAAAAAATAATTATTAAAAATAAAAAAATCAAAAATTAAAGAAAGAAAGAAAGAAGAGAGCAACCAAACCAAAAAACAAATCGTCCAATGATAACAAGTGCTAAAAAGTATACTCAAACAAACAAAAAACGGACAGACAGAACCCTAGGACAAATGGTAAAGCAAAGCTATACAGACAAAATCACACAAAGAAGAATACATATACACACTCACAAAAAAGGAAAAAGGAAAAAAAAAATCTATATATACTAAAAAAAAAAAGGAGGAAGAGAGCAACCAAATCAATAAACAAATCTACCAATGATAATAAACTCTAAATACTAAACTAAGATAAACATAAAACCAGAAACAAATTAGATGCAGAAAGGAAACCCCAAGTCTACCGTTGCTCCCAAAGTCCACCGCCTCAATTTTGGGATGATTCGTTGTCTGTTCAGGTATTCCAGTGATGCAGGGTATATCAAGTTAATGTGGAGATTTAATCCACTGCTCCTGAGACTGATGGGAGAAATTTCCCTTTCTCTTCTTTGTTTGCACAGCTCCTGGGGTCCAGCTTTGGATTTGGCCCTGCCTCTGCGTGTAGGTCACCTGAGGGCGTCTGTTCTTGGCCCAGACAGGACGAGGTTAAAGGAGCAGCTGATTAGGGGGCTCTGGCTCACTCAGGCCGGGGGGTGGGAGGAGTACAGATGTGGGGCGAGCCTGCCGCGGCAGAGGCCAGTGTGACGTTGCAACAGCCTGAGGCGCACCATGTGTTCTCCCAGGGAAGTTGTCCCTGGATCACAGGACCCTGGCGGTGGTGGGCTGCACAGGCTCCCGGGAGGGGAGGTGTGGGTAGTGACCTGTGCTCGCACACAGGCTTCTTGGTGGCGGCAGCAGCAGCCTTAGCATCTCATACCCGTCTCTGGGGTCCGCTCTGATGCGCATAGCCGTGGCTCACACCCGTCTCTGGAGCTTGTTTAGGCGGTGCTCTGAATTCCCTCTCCTTGCGCACCCTGAAACAGTCATCTCTTGCCTCTTCAGCAGCTCCAGACGTTTTCCCGGACTCCCTCCCGGCTAGCTGTGGTGCATTAGCTCCCTTCAGGCTGTGTTCACGCAGCCAATCCCAGTCCTCTCCCTGGGGTCTGACCTCCGAAGCCTGAGCCTCAGCTCCCAGCCCCAACCTGCCCCGGCGGGGGAGGAGACAAGCCTCTCAGGCTGGTGAGTGCCAGTCGGCACCGATCCTCTGTGCGGGAATCTCTCCGCTTTGCCCTCTGTACCCCTGCTGCTGCGCTCTCCTCCATGGCTCCAAAGCTTCCCCCCACCCCACGCCCCCATCTCCACCAGTGAAGGGGCTTCCTAGTGTGTGGAAACCTTTCCTCCTTCACAGCTCCCTCGCACTCGTGCAGGTCCCGTCCCTATTCTTTTGTCTCTGTTTTTTCTTTTGCCCTACCCAGGTATGTGGGAAGTTTCTTGCCTTTTGGGAAGTCTGAGGTCTTCTGCCAGCATTCAGTAGGTGATCTATAGGAGCTGTTCCACATGTAGATGTATTTTTGATGTAACTGTGGGGAGGAAGGTGGTCTCCACGTCTCACTCCTCCGCCATCTTGAAGGTCTTCGGGTGTGGTGTCTTAATCACTGTGCCACCAGGGAAGTCCCTAGGGGGCCAGGTTTTAGCTGCAGCCCATTGCTTATTGACCCCTGGTATGAGGGGTGGAGGACAACTTCATGCATGGCCCCCTAAGGCTCACCAAAGCAGTCCTGTGGATATTCCAAGGACCACTGTCATCTCTTTAAGTGAAAAGATGAAGCTCAGCTGCAGGGAACCTTAGCATAGTGGTTCTAGAAGGTTGCCTCTGACTGATGCTGCTCTTTATTCCTGACTCCTCTGGTGGGGTGACCAGGAACCTAAGCTGTGCCACCTGGGGTGTGTGGTGGCTGAGCTGGAGGCTCTCAGCTACCCTCCCAGTTCCTATCCTGTGTCCCCTGTGGGGAGATAGTAGGAAAGAGCGTGGTGGAGAGAGGGCTGTTGTTCCTTGGCCTGTCCTCAGTTTTTTCAGAACACAGTTGGCCCTCCATGTCTGAGGGTTCCACATTCGCAGATCCAACCAACAGTGGTTTGAAAGTGTTTAGGGGAAAAAATTTAAGGAAGTTCCAAGAAGCCAAACTTGAATTTGCTGCACCAGCAACTATTTACATAGTATTTTCATTGTATTTACAACTATTTCCATAGCATTTACATTGTATTAGGGATTACCTGTAATCTAGAAATGATTCAAAGTATGTGGGAGGACATGCATAGGTTATATGCAAATACTTTGCCATTTTATATAAAGAACTTGGGTACCTGCAGATTCTGGTATTCCTGGGTTGGGGGGTGTTGTCCAATCACCACCACCCCCCCTACTAAGGAACAGCTGTATTCAAAATTGAGTGCAATTTAGTAAGGTTTGGTTCCACTTTCATTTACTAGATTACATGAGACAAGAATGTGATTGTGACAGAAATAAAATAACATATCAAGTTGGACATCTGAGTTTCACCAGGAGCTGCATTGTTGAATATTTATCTCCATCCACATTGCCACAGTATATCAAGGGAACAATTACATATAATGAGTATTGTAAAATAAATTTTTACATTGTAATTTTTCTGCTTTTGAATTATGTTTTACCTTATTATTACCTTTAATATGTCAGTGTAAGGCTGCCAACTATCCTTTTTTGGGAAAGGAAAGGTTGCCCTTTTACAAGCAAGATGGTAGCTTGCTTACATTTTTTGGTGCTAAATGTCCTTTCTCCTATGAAATTATGCTGGCTAGGTAGTAGTAGATTGATGTCCTCACTTGGCAAAATAAGAAAAAAATTCATGAAAGTTTGTTATTCCTTGCTTCCACGTCACCTATTTTTGGATAATTCATCAGAGCATAACTTCTCAAGCCTGGAGAAATACAGCCTTAGGTATCACACAGTCTACCCCTTCATTTTGCAGAAGTTGAAACTGGCCCAGACAATGGAGTGACTTGTTCAAGATCACACAGACAGTAAATGGAAAACTAGAGAGAGTTCCCTGGTGGTCCAGTGGTTAGGACCTAGCGCTTTCACTGCTGGGGCCAGGGTTCGATCTCTGGCCAGCAAACTAAGATCCTACAAGCTGTGAGGTGTGGCCAAAAAACAAAACTAGAAACAAAACTAAACCAAGTGAGTTAACTTCTTTCCATCTTTCTAAGCTGCTAAAAAGCACTTTATTACCAAGAGCAAAGGAAGGATGTTGCACAGGTGCTGGCTTAATTGTGAGGCTCTCATGTATAATAGATGTTATTTTTATTGATGTATTATTGATGGGGTATTTTCTGTATCCACTGAATGGCAAGGACTACTAGTCTCCTGTGCTTCTTGCCACACCTATGCGTACACATGAGGAAGCTGTGCTGATTACATAGCATGTAAATAACAAGGAAGTGTGGCTGAAGCACTTGAAATAGGCTTGAGGTGGTTATTTGGGTGGAAAATCTAAATTCAGAAACTAACAGTAAGGGAGTCAAGAATCTTCTTATGAAATCTCCTGGGCTCGGGAGAGAACTCCCACAGTCAAATGCCAGTTTTTACCAAAATAGGAACCCTCACTTCTATATTAGTTAGCAGTTTTAGCCTTTCCAAGACAGTGTTTGGGTAAATATTGGGCACAGTCCATTAGCAATGAACAGGTGACACTGTGGTGGGAGGTTAGGGAATTGAGAGAAGCAGAAGCAAGACCTATGGCTGGGCTGAGTGGCTGGGGTGTGGGATGGGTATAGCAATCCCAGAAGCCATGTATTTCAAAACCAGTGTTGGATGCACAGGGCAGCTTCAGGTGAACTCCAAGTTCAGCCCTGGCACTGTCCATCGCCACACCATGTTCTATTATTTCACTGCCTGTTGTCCCGTTTAAGAACTATTTTAAAATCACATTTAAAAAGCTTGCACTCGAGAGGTGCCAGGCTCCAAAAATACGTAGAAGTAGACTTCAATGAATGAAACACAATCTCCATCCCCTACAAACTGTAAATCACTAGATGTCTCCGGAGAGACAACCATTTGGACTTTCTAACCTCATCAATCCAGGGCAGCCAATTACTAGGAGTACATACCACTGCCACTCTTGTGGGATATTTATGTACAGTTGACCCGTGAACAACTCAGGGGTTGGATATATCAACCTCCTCACAATCAAAAATCCACGTATAACTTTACTCAGCCCTCTGTATCCACCATTCTGCATTCTCAGATCAAAACAACCTTGGATTGTGTAGTACTCCAGTATGAATTTAGTGAAAGAAATCCGAGTATAAATAAACACACGCAGTTAAAACTTGTGTTGTTTAAGGGTCAACTGTACTTTATTCTCCCAGTAAGTGCAAGGCTTTCCTCAACAGCAGAGTGAATTTGCTTAGGAGGAGGAGAACAGATGAAGATGGCAAACAGCAAATCCAAAATGAGTACTTTTAATTTTTTTATACTTTTTTTAACCCTAAGTAAAATATGTTGTTGAGTCCTTTTTTCGTAAGTGGTATGTGTTTACTATATTTAAATTATTTCACTACTAAATACGGTACATTTTGGATTCTAAAAGAGTGAAATGTTTCAGGACTTCTCACTGATTTATTTAATTCAATATTTTGATTATCTTCTATGTGACAGGGTAGTCTTTTTCTACTATTTTTTAAACTTTGCTCCTTTTTGGTAAATGCCAAGGCTGGCATGTTTGAATACACAACCCTTGCCCAGTTCTCTTGGAATCACTCTGTCACTAACCCCTAGTAGAAACTTCAATGCTTCATTTTACATAGACTCTCACGTAAAGTTTTTCTTTTCAATTTTTCTTCCCCCAAACATACAAGCGATTTATCATATTGCCTGTGCTATTTTGAATATACACACGGTGCATTTATTGTCTGCTCCAGCCCTTACATCTCAGTGGAAATTCAGTTGGCTAGGTCTGGGGTCGGCAAACTTGCTCTGCAAAGTGCTAGATGGTAAATGTTTTTGGCTTTGCGGGCAGCTGCTCAACTCTGCTGTTAGGAAGTGAAAGCGGCCGCAGACAATACATAAGCAAATGACAGTGGCTCTGTTCTAATAAAACTTTATGGACACTGAAATTTGAATTTCATATAATTTTCACGTGCCACAAAATCTGCTTCTTTTGATTTCTTTTAAGCCATTAAAATAAACTTGAAAACCATTCTTAGGCTGTACAATAACAGGCAGCAGGAGGGCCGCAGTTAGTCAACCTCAACGCTAGAGGAGTCAAGCTGTCTCCTCTGGCAGGGATCAACACCTGACCCTGACCTCAGTGACTTCTCCCAACCACCTGTCCGGTCTCTAGAAGGCAGACTCCCGTTTTCAGGATTATAAGGGGGCGTGAGGGCACTACACCATCACGAGTGCACGTCCTCCTTGGCAGGCCACTTATCAGCCCATTTAGGGTGGTAGGAGTCCCAAAAGGGCTTGCAAGACACAACGGGGCTCGGGCTCCAGCGCAGTAACACTCTGGAAACACCTCCAGGCCCCACGGAGTCTGCGCGGCGGGGCGTCAGGCAGGTACTCACCGGGCGCCAGTTCGAGTGGTCCCAAGCAAAGCGGCACAGGCGACTGCCAAGCGCGCCTGTCACTAACCCGCCGCAACCCCCGAAGCTCGTTAACCGAGAGGCCCACGGCCCCTTCTCCCGTGCCCCTCCCGGGTGAGAGGCGGCGCAGGGCAGAGGCGGCCAACTTAGGGCTCTGCCCAACCCTGAGCGGACGCAGCGCCCGGCTCCGGCCGGCGTTGGATGGGGCGGGACTCCGGCGAGCGTGGTTGCGCGCGCGCGCTCCTGCCCAGTCCAGCCCTTTCCCGTCCGGGGCGCGCGCGGCCAGGCCGGCCCCGGCGCGAGCCTGCGGCGCCCCCGTTCGGCTCCCGCTGGTTCGGCCGCCGCGCGCGCCGCCGTGCGCGCCGCCCGCGCTCCTGCAGCGGCGAAGCTGGCAGCCGGGGAGCCAATTAGCGCTCCGCGAGGCAGCGGCTACTTCCTCGTCTGCCCGGCTGCGCGCTCTGGACAGCTCTGTCGGCCGCGGGGCGGGGCGGGGCACTTCGCCGAGCTGCTCTGCCTGCCTCTGCTCGTCCGGCTTCCCGGGGTGGACGCAGGTCCTTGAAGGCGCACCACTGCAAACCAGACATAAAGAAACTCTGAGGCGCCCGGAGTGCCGGCTGGAGGGGCATTCGGTTGGCTTTTCGTGCGTGGTCTTTAGAATCAGCCGCTCCAGGAAGAGAGATGTCCAAGCCGCCACCCAAACCGGTCAAACCAGGTAAGGAAGGTGCTCGCTGGGTCCCCTGGCCGCCGCCGTGCCCTGCGCTCCCTCTGCCACTTGGCAGGGCAGATCAGGCACGTACCCGGCCCCGAGCCTCGCTTTCGATGCCACCCACCAGGGTGGGAGTTGTTAGCGTTGCTGTGTTCGCTGCAGGGGACGGATCGTTTTGGATAGCAAGAAGATTTTCGAGGAATTTTTAAAATTTGATTTGTAAAGAGGAGTCACCCTCGGCTTTGCAGCATTGTCATTAGCTGCAACTTTCCAGTCGACGTGATGGCTACGTCCCATTGAGATTTCCTGGAAGACAGGGCCATTGATCTCCCTTAGGAAAAAAAAATTAAATAAATGTCTTGAAATGGTTTTTTAGCCACTTCCTCTTTTTTTTTTTTTTTTTTTTTCCAGTGTGTGTCGCTGTCAAGTTTGAGCTCTTGACCGGCCAAAGCGAACGGGAAGTGCGCTGCTGGTAGGGTGGGGTGGGTGAATGAGTGTCCGCAAATTGACCTCGAGATCTTGGGAAAAGCTTTTAGAAAGCTGTACTCGAGCTCCTGACTAGAAGAATCTAGGCTGCGGCAGAGTAATCTCAGCTATTACTCTTCGGAAGTGTCACTTTATCATGCAGTACAAGTCGTTTGCCTGCGCTCCCTCAGTGAATTAGGCGAGTTAAACTGGAGAGGGTGAGCTTACTAAGTTCCTCAAGCAGCTTTCTTGGCCGATAGTCCTTGTTCATTTTTTATTCGATCCTTGGAATATTTTCTGGGACATGGAGAAAGGAGAATTTAAAAGCGACTGAGGTATTGCAGTTCAACACTGTAATAAACTCTTTCGTGCATTCATTGAGTAGGTAGTTACTGAAAACGTGGGAAATGGAAGAGAAGTGGATCTGAACTTTTTTCTTCCAATCTCATGCAACTTCATTCAGTATAGCACAGGCTGAAATTTATCCATTTACATCAAATTTCGAAGTAACCTTGATTAGGAAGGAGTAATTTCAGTGATTAATTTTTTTCTTGATTTTTCTAAACTTTAGTCAAGCACTTCAACTTTCATGGTTATCCAGTTTTCTTCCTTTACCATCATACAGTGGTAGTTTCAAATCATTTTATTTGAAAATTATGTACATACTCACATATATGACATAGTCATTCACTGAGGACTTAAATTTTGCTGGGCTGGGTGTGACTTTGTTGGCACTTTGGCTCCGCTGTAAGCAATGGTGGAGAAAGGCTGGAAGTGGGCTCTGTGCTTCTTTAGATATGGAGTCTGATGAGGAATTTGCATTTTAAGTCTGTTTGTAGGACGCAGCAGCCTTCTAAACTCAGATGTAAATCAGGACCTCAAGTAACCAACAAAGAAGAGTTGTTCTTTGATAGCTAAACAGAGTACTTTATTTCAAAGAAGGTCCTGAAAAGCCGTTCATGAGGTTTTTCATCTCTAGACGTTAAGTGATGTCTGTGCTGTAGCAGGAGGGACATCAACGTGATGTGTATGTGTGTGTTTGCCGAGGTGTCGCTTAGGGATCACACGGTCATGGCCGTGAAACCCCGGAATACTAACCAATAAGGCCACTGAGGAACTCCCTCACAAAGACTTTTTAAAAAGAGACTTTATTCTGAGTCTTGAGGTAAAGATGGGCCAAAAGATGTTGAATGAGATTTGGACTAGAATCCTCTCATTTTAAGCACGTTTGATAACCTTCCTCTGTAGTTGGAAGCCTGATGTCTGACCTTGACCAGTTCTTTTAAATGGCTTATTGATTTTGGTGGTGGAAGTAAAGTGGCATAAATATTTCGCTTGTCTTGGGAAAATAAATTAGTGGGACTTTGAAGAAGCATACGTCAGTGTTTTGGGTTCTTTCATATTTACAGTAAAAACATCATAAAACTTCAAAGATGTCACACATATGTTGCTTATATAACACCTTTGAGAGGGAAAAGGTTTTCACCTAAAATGATCTGAAGTTTTGTATAATTTTTTCTTCTCTGAATTAATGAATTAGTTAAAGGTGAGATACGGAGTTGGCTCGAGGTGTGCACATGAATAATTCTCCTTCATAAACTTGATGCTCTGTTAATACTTGATGGCAGAATGAAGTGTGAGAAACATCTTGAAAACTCCAGAATGATGATGATGATTTTAATAGTAATAGTTAACATTTACTTGGCCCTGAGTGTCAGGCACTGTGCCAAGTACTTTGTATGCTCTGTCTCATTTAATTGTTCTAATTTCCCTATGAGGTGGATCCTAATATCCCCATTTTATGGATGAAATAGGACTTAGTGAGGTTAAATAAACTTTGTAAGGTCTCAAAGCTAGGAAGTGGTTGGTTTGGCCTGGGAATGGCACAAAAGCCTTAACTGGAGTCTATGCATTTTGGGCAGAGAAACCTGTGAGGGTTCTATTAGGTTGGACCGGGTTTACTTGGGCAGCCACCTTTATTAACTTATGCAGTTGTATTATTTGCATTTGCTTTGTATAGCTCCCCTCTTTAATTGGATCTGTATTAGACTATTTGACACTTAAAATTGTTTTTTAATTTTATATTGGAGCATAGTTGATTAACAATATTTGACACTTTCTGAGAGTAGAATAGTCTCTTGTTTCTTTGTAACTGCACAGCAACTAAACTTTGTATGTGTGGCAGTTACATAAAAAGTCTTGATACATAATAAAGTCTTTGTCTAGAAGAAAGCAGGGGAGACTGTGATTGGGCATATCTTGTAGCTTCACATTAAATAGCAAAGGCTGGAGGCAGTGTCCATCAACACGACTTCTGGAAGTAGTGGGGTCCCCTCCCTCTTGTGTTTTCAGCGTTCCCATGGTTTGACTTCAATGGGACTAAGTGATGAGCTTTTCTGACATGCCTCTGTAAGGGAGAAAAAAACTTTTCCTCTACCCACTTAGGTTTGATATCTAGTTACTGTGAATTAACTGAATTAAAGTAACAAAAAACCAGATTAACAGGAGGAAAAGGCATACAAGTTGAATTGATGTTTTTAATTTTATGTGTATAAGGGCTATACAGAAAAGAAGGGAAAATCCAAAGAAGTGGTTAGAATTGGACATTTATATACCACTTTAACAAAGGGCAACACATTGTAGAGAAGTGACTAAAAGGAAAGAGGCGTTGAACTTCTGGGGGAGTAAATTGTGGGAAGGTAGAGATATGGGGAAACTAATGGAAAATAAGAGTTATTTTAGTAAGGTTTGCTTATGCAGACTCATCTCTGTGCCATCTCTATCCCTGGTGATAAGGGTTCTTCTCCTCTGTCTTTAATGGGGGACCTACAGGAGGAGGATACCTTCATGGGGAATTTATGCCTTGCTTTCAGGCAGATGGGGGAGGGCTCAGAGTCCTTCCTGTGTCTGCCTTTTCTCAATTGCCTTCAACTCAAAATAATCCTTATGCCAAAGTGGCATACTTTAGGTTGACATTTTCTGATCCTCTTCACCTCATACTTCACGTCCAATGAAGACCATCGCCAAATTTGTCCTCACTTGCTTAATGGCCAGGGTAAGCAAAATACATGGGGGTAAGGAGAGGAAGAGAGAGAGGGGGCAGACACACCCTTTTAGTGGGCTGATGTGAACTATTCAGTCAAAATTCTCTATTGACTTGTCATTCATATTTCAATAAAGCTGGGGAAAAAAGATTCTCTATCAGATAAATTAAGGGACTTTGGGAAAAGAGTTTCAGACACCAGTATGGAAAGAGATTTCTGATTCTTACTGCATGGTACTCTATTGTACTTATTTAACCAGACCCGTATTAAAATGTGCTTTGATTGTTTCCACTCTTTTGTTATAACAAATAGTGTTACAACAACCTTGTTGCTTACCTGTGTGAGTATATCCACAGGACAAAGTCCTGGCAGTGGGATTGTTGTGTCAGAGGGTATGTGCATTGCCATATTCACAGACATTTCCAAAATGCTCTCCAAAGAGGTTGTACTAATATACTTTCCTACCAAAAATGTGTGAGCACGCCTTACACAGAAAAATTACAACGCATGTGATAGGAGATATTATCAAAGTGTGGTCAGAGGTCTAGGAAGTACAAGGCAAGGAGCTTGAGGAAGCCGAAAAGGTGTCACAGAAGAGGGGAAAATTAAGCAGGGTCTTGAATGCTGAGTAAGAATTTGGTAGGCAGAAAAGAGGGAAAAGTCGTTTGACGTGGACAGAAATGAAATAACTTGGCATGACGTCCTGCCCACGTTTGATTGACTGCGTAGGAGCTGAGCTTCGCTCACAGAAGCCAGGGGGATTTGGTGTGGAACTGTGAACCAGAGAAATTTGTTCTGAATTAAAGAGAAGGCCGTTTGCCTAGCGTAGCAGGTTGTGGAAAACAGTATCGCTCCACACAGAAAGCAAGCATTTGAACGTCCACATGTGAGCCATCTACTCACGTGCTTATCTGTTTGTTAGAGTGTTAACAAGAGCTGTGGGTGGTAGTTTGCAGAAATGAGCTAAAGAGGGCCACAGCTTCAACTCACTTACACAAGTCACTGGTGGGACTGCTGAGGCCACCTCCTTTTTATTAGTTCTCGCCAGTTGTTTCCCACTCACTGTTTGAGTATCTGTAGAATTTTTAGAAAGTTACAAGTCAAATCCCTCAACTTGCTCTCAGGGTAAGAGTTAGGGGAGAGTTTTGTATTTTGATTAGCATGTTCAACTTGTTAGCATCCCTTAGAATTTGATAAATTACCTTGGTTTTATATTCTTGGAACGAAAGAATGTACTCATTCTTTTCTTTTTTTTGTACCCCCCTGTGGACATGAATTTATTAGAGGAGCCAGGTCAGAGTGGGTACAAGTTGCAGGTTGAGAGGAAGGGGCAGGGGGCATGGGCAGCCCTGCCAGCCTGAAGCCAAGAAGACAGGAGGCCGGAGCGGGCACAGCCAGTAGAGCACTGAGTCAGCAGGCGAGCAGACAGGCTGTTCTTCACCCTCCAAGTGTCAGGGCCAACGGCAGAGCAGCAGCTTCGAGAGGGTGTGGAGAATG